TCATTTAAGAGAACACTTTTTTCCATTTGAAGGTGCAAATGTTGCCTCACTTAGGAAGTACATTGTTATTTATTCATTCGATTTCTACTCGGTTCCCTTTTCAGTTCTTAAACTGAAGGCGAATTGATGGCTTGTACTGACATATTTATGAGTACAGCTCTTCCACAGACTGTCCTACATGTGTGACTTCCAAACCAAACAAGGAATGTGATTATTTAAAGAAGCCACTTGTATTCCACAGTCCATTCATCCCTTTCTGATACAAAAATAACACATTGTTTTATTTATAAGTATAAGAACTTTTCAAAGGAAATAAAAAGAGCAGACAGTTTCCTTCCTGACTAATTCACAAACCACTTTTCCAATCTGTTAAACATAGCCATGGACATGAAACATTGGCCTGGCTGTCTTTGATATGCTCTACTGTGCTTGTAGAGTGACTGCATGCAAACAGAAAGTTTTGTTATTTTTTCTATCATCAGCAGAAATCATGAATTTTCAAGGAAGATGAGAATGCAGCGAGGCTAGAGATGGATCTAGATCAGAATGCTGCTCCCAGAGCTCCAGGCTCAAAGCCAGGCTAAATCACTATAATTCCTCTTTAGTTAGCGCCACAAAGGAGAGAGAGTTGTTCATGTTCTGCTGATCACTGCCTGAGGAGGTAAAAAGGAAGCACTCTTCTTTGACCATCGGTCCACTTGCTAAGGCCACAAACACTTCATGTAGATAGGTGGGAGAGAGGTTGCCAGTGCATTTTCCTTGACCATATTTTTGAAGTGGCAAATAAAATGATTCACATCTTTCCTAATCCAGATTTCAGAGATGGGAAATCTTTAACGCAGTGGGATCCATTTTCTACTTGGCCACTCCCACCATTCAGTAGTTCCATCTATGGTTCATGCAGGAGGCTTGACCCAACAGGAATCCACTATTTCCTTTCTTCAATAAATCAGATAATAAGGAGAGACTGATTGCCCAGAAGTGTTCCCACACATTTTTTGTGGAAACAGTAAATAGCAAAATACAATTACATTTAATATTCAATACAAGACAACATCACATTGACCAGAAAAAGTAGTTTTTCACTAGGATATATTCTTTAATACATGAGAGCTGGCACTCAAAGACCAGTTGTTTTTCAGAATATCCCCTTTACATATAACATTATTCAGAGGGGCAGTATGTCCTTTGTTTATTTGTATATAGCCCAGATCATGAGCTCATGTACATGCCTCTGACTTCTTAAAGTGATAAATACACATACCAAAAATGATACCGCAAGACAGCTGAAGGACTTGCAGCTCAAAGTCAGTACTGATTTGCTTAGATAGCTGTGGTGTGTTAGTACCCAAACAACCAGGAATGTGATCCCATTATATTTTAGGAGCTGTAAAAACACAGACAGGAAGACATGATCCCTGCCTGGAAGTGCTAATATTCTGTGTAATGAAGATGTTTGGACTATTTTCCTTGGAAGGGAGATGAATAAACAAATACGAATTTACAGGTTAATGCCTGGTCTGAGAGAAGTTAAATCTGTTCTCCCTGTCTCAGGAGAGACATCTAACAGGATATTCAACAAAGCTGAAAAGTAACAACTTTAAATGTGACCAAAGACAATACTTTCCATACAGGGCACAAATAGTCATGGAACTCACCACCACAAGATCTCACTGAGACTAAGAGCTGAGCAAGTCTGGGAAAAGGACTGGGCAATTTAAATGAACAGCATGAGTCTCCTGAGGAGGGGGAATAATAATAATAATACCTAGCTCTTACAGTAACTGCCTATGAAAATTATGTGACTATCGTGGGTAAAGTCCTCTGGCTGGATTTAGCAGCCCATTTTGTATTAAAACCAAGAAACTGAAAATACTAATGTCTCATTCCTCTAAAAGTAACCTGAGTTGGGGAAAATGAATGAGCAGGAATTGTTTTGTTTCTTATGCTAAATTTACATCTACCTTCTACCCTGACCCTCTCTTTGTTGGGTTGAAGCAATTCCTCTTTTCAAGTCAATATAAACACATTCTTAGTTAGCATTTCCTGCTGGGCTTCCTTTGCAACCTGGTGCATTTCCCTTGTTAAGACTTTCTTCAAATGGCTGCATTCAGAAATCTCAGATGCTTAGAATGCTTCTTACCTGCCTTTGCAGTTTGTAATGGAGACAGAGAGAAAAGCAGATGGAAAAGGCAGAAGTATATCAATAGAGAACAATAATTTAGAGCAGTCATTCTTAACTGGGGTACCACAGTTACCAGGGGTATCACAACACCAGTACCACTACTGCCACCACTGTGGGGTGAACCTACCCTGTATGCTTCTGTTTTCAGGAGACACACTGGAACCAAACTGAGAAGCAGCTGCAGCAGAATCAGTGTGTCTATATGTAGGCAGCATCATATAATGCAGACAGGTGCAGCTTTCTCCTGCAGCTGCTTCTCAGTTTGACTCCGACAAACTTCCTGAACATAGAGGTGTGTGGGACAGGAACACATGACACACACACTTCTGTTTCTAGAAGACACTGCAAGGTTGGACTGGGAAAAACTGCAGCAAGAGCATAGCCACTGTAGGAGATGTGCAGCACAATGACCATGTTATGACACCCTCTTAGCCAGCCTCCTGTACCTCCTGAGCCCTTTTGTCCATGCCATCATCCTCTCACTCCCTCAGCGTTCCCCACATGCTGCATGTACAATCCAGCACCTTGTCCCTCTGGCCAGAGATCCCAGACTGTCCCTTACAACCCAAGGTATCAATAGTAATAACATATTCATGAATACTAGACTTATATTTATATTATAATTCATGATCTATGTATATTAGTCTTTCTAATGAGGTGCCATTACATTCTGAAAAGTTTTGGAGGGGTGCCTTGAGTCTGAAAAGGTGAAGGACCCCTGACTTAGAGCAATGTTTTATTTATCATGCAATGATTTACCTTGTACTGTGACATAAGCTGCACTCTCCACGGAGCCTTTCAAGTTGGTGGCTACACACTGGTAAAGTCCCTCATCCTCCTCTTTGACTCTTTCAATAAACAGCATTCTGCCTCCTGGTCCTAAAATTATTCCTGTGAAATGAAAGGTTTTTAAATAAGCAGGAGACAGAATCTAAACAAAAACAGCTGCTTCTGTAATGCAATCTTTTCCTGATTATTATGTGTTCAGAAAATGAAATCTGAATTATGGACCAGACAGTGCAATGTTATCTGCATAAAAGTCAAAGAAGTTTGAATATTCTGGGAGTTTGTTAGAAACTGATGTGTGTTCAGTATTTGTATTAGTAAATAGGCTCAGTCTCCGAAAATGATCCTGAAAGCACTCATTACTGTATGCAGTGCTTAGTACTAAGATTAGACCTTCATCTAGCCAAGTAATTTTAACATGATATTAACTTTAAACACCAGAAGAGTCTTATGAAGTCAATAATATTTACTGATATGCACATTAGACATCTATGTAGTTGGCTAAATCAGGGCGTTATTAGTACAACACCCTTGACTAGCTTTAGTCCAGCACCCTGCCATGCACATGCAGACAGTGCTATGATTTTGCAGGATAAGGTCCTGAATGTATCTTGGTACTTGCTATTGGTGTATGCGTACCAGTACTGTAACTAAGGGTGAGTGAGCAAGGCACTAGTGGTAGGCACTGACCTAGAGGGGGTACAAGAATGATGGCCAGCCTAGCCACCATTGATGACCTGGCCACTGGCACTGCCCAGCCACTACTACTCAGGGTGCAGAACTTCCTAGTTACACCTCTGATGAGGATGTTGTGAGTTAATGATGGGAACTGGTAAATGCTGTGAGATTTCTTTCCAGTTTACTTTCATTATATAATAATTGAAGATACTCCAAACAAGAAACTTGAACACAAACCTACCCAGGTTTTGTGATGAGAGACTGGGTTTTATATTCAGATTGCTGTAAGCAAAGCCCAGAAGTGTGAGATATGGAGACACCTTGAGAGCATGGGTGACTGGTCCCTCCTGAGTCTGGGGGAGGCTCCCGCAGAAGCCAGTGGTGGCATCAGCGGCAAGGACAGGGCTCACGAGCACCTGCAGAAGCTGCCGGCAGCATCAGCAGTGGGAACGGCCCTATCAGGGGGGGCACATGCACCCCCATGGCACCTTTACCAGTTGCCTATGCCTGAGAGACAGAAACCTAGGAGACTCCAAACTCAACTTTACACATCACACATACTTACTGGGGAGCCAGAGCTCCCCTTCCTGGAATGTATCCCAGCTCCTTTAATTTTCTTTTGTAACCAAGCCACTTGTAGAGTTTTGTTTCATTCTCCTGTTGTTGAGTACAGGTCTTTCCAATTCCACCATCTCTGGGCTTCAGAGGTCTTCTCATGATCTTCAAACAATACATAATCTGTATGACACACCCAATTCCACCACCTCCTGTAATTCTAACCACTGCTCGTCGCAGCACCCTGCAAGCATAGCTATTCCTAACTCACCCTTGACAAGTACTTCTTCAATCTCTTCTTGAGAATCTCCAATGAAGAAGATTCCACAGCTTCCCTGCACTGAATGTTGAAGCAGTGGAACAGACTAAGTGAAAACATTTTTTCCAAATATCCAATCTTTGTTGCAATATCATGTGTCCTACTCTCTGTTGTGAGGGGGGAAAAAAGAGTTCTCCCTCTTTTCTATGGCAGTCCTTAAGGCATGAATGCCATAGGCCCTTCCCTCTAGGATGGGTTGGGGCAGGCCAACGGGCTGAGGCCAGGCATGAGGTTGCGCTCTGCCACCGCTGCCATGGGCTGGGGGGCCGTGGTGTGATACAGGGGTGAGGGGTGGGCCAAGCACTTCAAGGATGGAGAGAGCCATGGAGCAGTTGAAATGGTTCATCAGGTCCCTGCACTGTGTCTGCACCGTGGAGCTGCCCGATGATTACAGAACTGCTGTCTACACCTCAATGCCAATGGTTAAGGCTGATCAGCACAGGTCGGTTTCAGAGCTACTGTCAAATTCAAAATTTGATGTCAATTATGCTTTTGGAAGGGTGAAGAGGATCTTGCTTCATATTACAGCAAAACTTTTCAACATGTTCATCAATGATTTGGATTCAGGTATTAAAAGCGAGCTAGCAAAGTTTACTGATGACGTCAAACTATGGGGGAGTGTGGTTACTCTTGAAGACAGGCTGGCAATACAGGCTAACCTAAACAGACTTGTGAGGTGGGCAGACTTCAACCAGATGTCATTTAAGACAAAGAAATGTAAAGTGCTCCATCTGGGGAGAAATAATCCACAACACACTTACAGGCTCAGCAGCATTACGCTTGCTAGCATCACATCTGAACGAGACCTGTGTGATGTGATAGACAACAAAATGAACGTGAGCCACCAATGCAATGCTGTAGTTGGCAGAGCTAATGAAACACTGGCATGCATCTACTGAGGCATCTCAAGCAAAGCTAAGATCCTCCTACTCTACTTGGCCTTGGTGAGATTGCAGTTGGAGTTTTGCATCCAGTTCTGGGTGCTGCAATTCAGGAAGGATGTGGAGAAGTGTGAGAGTCTAAAGGAGGTCCACATGCATGATTAAAGGCCTAGAGACCAGGTCATACGAGGAGAGGCTGAAAGACTTGGGACTGTTCAGCCTGGAGAAGAGAAGACTCGGAGGGGACTTGGTGGCAGCCTATAAGTATATTGAGACGTACATCAGGGCCTAGGGGAGCATCTGTTCACCAAGGCCACCCAGGGGAGGATAAGAAATAAAGGGCACAAGCTGATTGAGGATCACTTTAGGCTAGACATAAGGAAAAACTTCTTTACAAGTTGGGTGCCAAGGGTTTGGAACAGGTCCCCCCAGAGGTGGTACAGTCACCCACCCTGGCAATCTTCAAAAAATTTCTTGATGCCCATCTTGCTGGGGTCATCTGGTCCCAGTGGTCTTTCCAGCCCAAGTGCAGGAGGGCTGGACCCAATGATCTGTAAAGTCTCTTCCAGCCCCTAGCATCTATGAAACTATCATGTCCCTCTTTTAAGTGCCTTTTTTCCAAGCTGAATATACATATTCCTTTCAACCTCTCCTCATATAACTTGTCTTCCAAGCCCTTTATAATTTTTTCACCTGCCTCTGGACTCTCTCTAACTTCTCCACATCCTTTTTAAAACTGCCCAAAACTGCACACAGTACTCTAAATGAGACCTAGCCAGTATCAAATAAAGGGGCATTATCGCCTCTCATCTATTGCTCCTGTTGATGCAGTCCAAAACTGCATTTGCTTTTTTTGTGGCTGTATCACACTGCAGAATCTTTCTCTAATTCTCTAATCCTTCACAAAGTCCTTCTCTAAACAGAATGCTGTCTCAACATTTGGGAAATGGAAGTTCAAATCCTGTGCTACCAGAAGCTTGTGTGTGACTGTTTGCAAGTTACTTAGCCTCTGTTCCTCAGCTCTCCATCTATAAAATAATGTTTCCTTGCTGCACAAGGATTTGAGGAGGAATAGATAAACTAAACAGTGGGTACGTCTACACAAAACGCTGACTGCGCCGTAGCTACAAAATATGTGCAGTAGCGCATCACAGCATGGACAGTGCTAATATGCTACTGCACGGTATTATTAGACTACTGCACAGTAGCATCTCCTGAAAGTTGTTTGCCAGCACTACTGTGCAATAACTCTGGTTGATGCACTTTTATTTCGTACTTGCTAATACAAGTACGAAATAAACACTCAGTAACAACCGTGTAGTAGCGTCTCATGTAGACACACCCATTGTGAAGTATTTGGGTACCAAAGGAATAGAGATATCCATCTTCCATAGAGATATCTATCTACCATACATGTAGAGCAGCTATAAGAGAAGGTAAAAAAGGACATTGCTCTCACCTGGTTCTTCATGTATTTCTTCATGGTTTTTAAACCAGAATATCTGGGGCTCTGGGATGCCTTGCACTTGACATTCTAATGCAGCAGAGTTGCTGGAGTTCACTGTCTGATCACTGAGGTTGCGCAGGAGGGATGGGGCTTCTTGAGCTATAAAATAAAATGATACTTCAGTTATTACATGCCTGAAAACATCTGTTTAAAGTACAATCTCTTGTAGGGCTGCTTTAAAGTATCACAATGTGAAAGCTACCTGGAGACATTCTACTAACATAATTATTTCCCCATTCTAATTAATATTCTTATTTACAAAAGAGCTTTTAATGTGACCTGGTGATTCCTTCTAAATTAAAAATTATTCCCCTTAATCAATTGTAATTGGGCATTATAGCAGTCATAATCCAAGTGATTTAACAAGAGATGCTTTTTTCAGATATTGTGTTAAAGTATCTCTGCATTTTCTTACAAACAAAAGATAAATAATCTACATGGGAAGACGTTATCTTCAGGAGAATCAAATTATAAGGACAAGTTTTTTAATGGGTTAGTGGAGTTAGTCTTTAAACAAGAATATTTTTGCATCAGCGATAGTTTTATGCAATTTTCTACTGGATGTGTACATGAAAGAAAGCTTCATTATTTATAAAACTGTGAAGATCAACATTATTATGAGCCTTTGGCAGTAAACTATCATACTACAAAACCAGAGTTGTCAGCACTGAATCACAGAGCACTAGGCATCAGTCTGCATAAGTTCTTTAGTTTTTATATTACACAAACACTTAAGAACTAACCAGACAAAATTGAATTTGTAAGAAATGTATCTGTTTTCCCCAGGTAGTGTCCCCATCATAAAATACAAGTTCCTAAAACAGCAACTTGAGAGGTAGAAGCTGGGTTCTTGAATTTTACATTGTATCACAATATACAACTCCCCCTTTACAATAGTCACTATTATCTGTTAACATTCATACAAATGTGATAAAAATCAAATGTGATGACACAATATTTATTGCAACAACTGTCTTGAAAGTATATTGTATACTGGACGTACACCCACAATGTGCTCTGATTCTGTACAAAATGAACATTCCAATCAAGGATAAAGGAACCCCAAATAAGTTTTAAAACACAGCATTAGAGTCATCTCTGTAATAAGAGAAACAATTGACACTAATGTTCTTTTCCTCATCATCTCCCAAACCATACATTTCTTCCCTCCTTTTTCCACAGAACTGAGGCTGTAATGACAAAGATCAGGATCTCTACAGCACTGTCAATCATACAGCACAACTTTCTGCCACAATTGCAACTTCTTATAATATCCTTTTTGTATTTTGGTTTTGTAAAGGTTGAGCAAAAGCCGGTGCATTATAGATTTTCTTGAATTCCCAGTTCCTCCAGGAATTGCTTCACTCTGAAATTTTTCTTTCAAGGAAACTTCCAGGATTAGAATTTACTAATGTACTAATAAAATAAGAAACTCTTCGGTGGGATGAGAGACAGCAAAAAAACTTTGTCAAATATTTTAACAGCAATAAGACACATTCTTTACTGAGTGTATTATATGCTTCCTAGAGATTGGCCTTCATTATCTAACAGGTGTTTCTATGCTTACTATAATTCTATTATCTGATTTTGATGAAAAACTTTAAATAAAGCTAGTCTCCTATGTATAATGTGTAATATATAAAAGCAAGGGCACTGAAAGTTTTCCACCATTACCCCTTGAAGTCAAGTTCAACACACCCATCCAGCATCTCTGAATGATGCATTTTATCTGTAAATTCCTTGGGACAATAACTCTTATAGCTTACAGTGTGCAATTAGTCTGTTGTCATTCTATAAACAATGCCAGCAGATGAAGCTTAGAAGTTGATCTTAACCAAATCTCTATCAAATTATATTATCAACAATGTTTTCTCCCAGCCAACAAGATTACTCTCTTTTCAGCTATGGATCCATGAGATTTACATTCAGTTTCCCATTTTTCCCAAACAAGCTGACTAGAAAATTTTCTGGTTCAAGTGTTATATTTATAAATGATTATAGTAAAGCAAGAATGCCATGGCATTCAAAATAAAGTGTAACAAGATGACAGAATAAAGGCAAATCACACATTTTGTAAGTTATTTTTGATTAATTTTAATTTGTTTAAAGCCATACACTAAAGCTGGGTTTTCATAATGAGAAAAAATACCTTGGTTAAAACTTAGATCCAGTCATCATTCACACATTTTAATAATTTCCTTGGCACAACTGGATGGTTTTCAAGGACATGGCTTTGCTGTTTCAGACCACCTGTGTCTTCTGTTTGCTACTGTAGGTAAGCTATACAATAGGATGTTTTAAAGCACCCAATATTGGTGTAACTCTCTTCCAGTCAAAGTCAATGGAAAAATTTCAATTAGATACACACAGAGCTAAGTCAATGGTCAGTGCTTTTGAGCATTCTTCCCCTATACTGAATATTGAGTATCATACTCATAGTCTCCATATCTGACTGTGAGGCCATAAACATAGGATAATGGACCAATTCTGCGCTCAGGTTTTTTTTCTAAAGAACCGCATTGTATGCAGAAGGTGGTCCAGGAGATTTATGGGATGCTACAAAAAGCAGAAGAGCACAGTGACTGTGAAAGAAAAATCCCTATTTCAAAATGAGTGTTGGCATTTGGAAAAGCACTGAAATGTTATACAGCTTGTAGTTTCACAACCTTTTACCCTCTTCAGCTTCTGGGTGTTTAGCTTGTTTGGTTTTATTAAGAAGTAGGACAATATAAATACACAGTTTCATTTAAATACTTTTTTAAAGGAATATCATCTTAAATTACAAGTTTTTCTCCCCAAGTAATGTGCTATTTAACGGAACTTACACAAACTTCCAGAACGACAAGATTCTCCCGGTTAGCTGGCAAGATCAGCAGTGACCATGTCGCTTTTTTTTCCTCCCACTCTGGCCTTCAGTTGTGGAACCCTTTCCTCACACAATTTAACTGAAGTTCTTCTATGCCTGCCAAGACTGGACTTAGGTAGGGGCACTTGCTCAGCATTGTACAGTATGGCTGTTGGAGCACTGGCCATAGACTAGGAAGTGGCTACCAAGATGTCTCCCAGGCCAATGTGGTATACATCATCACTCAACAATTCCACAGAGAGACATTTCTAATCTCCATCATATCATTTTGTGACCCAAACTCTTATCACATGGTTGTTGCCAGCAACTGACTGCTACAAGCAACTGCACTATGATTTTTCTGAACACTTTCAAATACAACAGGACAAGCTTTCCCCGTTTTGACAGTGATTACCAATTATTCCACTAGCTTTTTAAGCATGTAAGAGAAACCCAAGTTCCTTTGCAAGAACACATTGTTTCTGGAAGCCATCATACTAATAATGAACAAAACAGCTACCGTATGCAAGAAGGCTATAGGTGACATTTCAAGATACAAACGATTATTCTTTTCTTTACTCTGACAACTTCCAGGTTATCAATTGTTTTCTAAGCATTTTAGGCTCCATGCAACTGGCATTATGGGGAAATGCTATTGTTTACCCTTTCACACTTGACAAAAGCAATTCCCACGTGAAAGACAAGTTTAGCCGTGGGACACAGTCCCAATACCTAAAGGAGGAAATAGTCTGGTGAGTTCCCAAGCACAAAAGTTGTCATGTTGTCACCCTCTATTTTAAAAGCACAGGCACTTTGTTCCTTTGCTGAAACTATTTTGGTCACTTAGGTTGGTTTTGTTATGGCTTATGTAAATCCTATATAAGTGATCAATCATAAATGAAACCAAAAATAATAAAGGCTATGGATTGTAAAAAAATAAAGTTATCAGATCTATTAAAAATAGTAACTTCTTCCTTATACAGAATTTATAATACACAGACACTCCTCATAGCAAAATCATGAAGAAAAGGAAATTCTTAAGAGGAAATTTAGATTATCCTTAGTTCTCTTTCAGTAGTTTGACCATTTCTTAATCCCCATAATAAATCCTATTTTCATTTGCATACCAAAAGGAAAGGGTGTCTTTTAATGGCCTTAATTTTAAATTTAAATTAGGAAAAATGTATTAAACATTTTGATGTAATGCCTGTAAACTTGTCAATGGGGTAACTGTAGCACTTCTCATAATGAAATAATTATAACATTGCAGATTCCTGTATCTTCAAACAAGTTTGTGCCAGGCACAAAATTCCCACTGATATCAACAGGCCTTTACAGTAGTACAGTAATTATTTTTAAACACTGACCAACACAGTCACTGGAAGACTACCTGGATTTATTTGGAGGAACATGAATCACATCAGTTTTTAATTTTTCATTATTATAAATGATATAATAGGTATGTGCATCATATCAGCATATTTATTTCTTTTCTGCACCCCCAGGGCCTTCCTTGAGAAGATACTTTTAAGATTAATGCACTTAGTATAGAAAATTATTTCAAATAAATAAGCATTAGAACTTGCTCAGCAGGTAATATTTATAAATCCATCAAGATCAGATTAAAATAGAAATCTGTAGTCCAGTCAGTCTCAAACTGAGTTGTGCTCATTCTGCACTTTAAAGTTAAGTTATTAAATGTCCATTGTTGACTGAAAACAGCAGTTTTTAAAGTTAATCAGTTTATGCAGCCTTGCCACTTTCGAAGAGGCCGGTATCAGAGTGGAAGAAAAGACTGGTCCAAAGTTTTCATTATCAGTCAGTAGGAGACAGCAAGGGACAAAACCCCACATCATACAAAATGCAGGATAGGGGATCTTCCAAACCCCAGCTTCCACCAACTTTGTCAAAGCAGAACAGACCCGTCTGAACTGAACTGGATGCCCATGAGTTATGCTGCTACTCCTATGTCCAAACCCATTTTTGGAGGTGCACCACCTCAGAGCCTGAAAGGTAGCAACAGTAATAAAAATCGAGATGATATGAGACAACTGTTACTTTTTTAATGAGTCCTTTAATGTTTTACATTGTTTTGTGTTGTACAATCATTCCTTGTGTTTTTATATCTGGGGATCCGAGAGTAAACAGCCTTTTTGTTGCAGTGCTCACCTCTAATTGTAAGGTCTTTCTTTTGAAGCACTTCTTTTCCTGTGTATATGTTCCGCGCTTTGCAGGTGTAGGTGCCTGAGTGTTCCAGGGAAACATTCTTGATGGTGAGAGGGAGGGTAATGGAGTACTCCTTAGGGAGAGGTTTTTTTGCTTTTGTTTGATTAACTGTCCTTGGTAAAATCCAGGCAATGTCTTTGTACAGGAATTTGCTGACCGAACAGGACAATATCAGGTTCTCTCCTTCAATGGGCATTTTTTCCAACTTAATGTGAAATCCATTTGGTACATCTGTCAAAAATCAAGAACACTTTTAGTTTATAGGAAAATATTGAGTCAAAAGAAATCATTTGCTCTTTTCCCTGTAAGCAGAAAGTTTGTCAGCTGGAAATATTTAATGTCTTCCTTCTGGAGTCTCTAACCTTACTTCTTCTGCAATGGACCATGTCTATGCTTGTCATTTGTCCCACAAATACAATACACTTCACTTCTACTGGACACACTGGCCTGATCTACAAGTGGCATAAATTGATGTTGCTCCTGTGATTTCACTTAAGCCAAATGATTTGTTCTAGCTCGGGGTTTGGCTCATCAGGTAAGGACATTCTAAGAGAAAGTACCAAAGACTTTAAAGAGGGAACATTTGCAGTCGTTACAAAGTGAGAGCTATCTTCTTTCAACTATAGCTGGTGAAACTGTACAAAGAAGTAGAAGCATTTTGGTGAACACAAGCAAACAGAGCAGTTCTGAATCTTCTTGTGATTCATGACTATTGAGACAACTGGCTGGTATTCATTGAATACGTCCAGATCCTGAACATGTTATGAGATTTGATGCTGCCCCACTGAAGTCAAGGTGTTACACCACTGACTCCAGCGACAGTAAGAGTAGTGTTCTGGAATAAAGTCAACTTAAAGCTTCTGTTCTGAATGTTAGTGTCTTTAATTTAATTGTAGCTACTATTCTGTATACTATACTATGCTGTTTAAATTGTTTCTTACTCTTTTCCGTACAATTGACTTACAGAACTTGATGACATAGAAGGGTTCTTCCAATTGTTTCAGTTGTTTATTTCCACTGCCCTTGACTGAACTTTACTTGAAATCTTAGAGATGGGGACAGTGCCTAGTACTCATTTTTAGCATTCTGGTTTCCTCCTTTATGGTGTGGAATTATTTTTCTTAATGCCTGCTTGTTCTTGACTTGATGCATAAAATCTTCTTGACAAAAACCTGCACTCAACACTGGGCACATCTACACTTGTTATTAATGTGATTGAATAAATGCCAGTGCAGTTTGCACTAGAGTTTGTTGCTCCCAGGCACTGCATTTGCACATGTGCCCGAGACCACAGCACACTGAGCCAGGTCAAAGCAGCCCCAGCTGGCAGAGGGCCCAGGGTGTCACCCTTCCAGACTGGGGCTCCTTCAACCCAGCGCAAAATGCTCTGGAAGGGTTGGCTGGTGTACCAGAGTGCTCCACTGTGGGGCACATTTTCAGGCAGCCTCCACACTGAAGCACCCTTGTGCCCCAGCCAGCCCTGTCAGCATCTACATGTGTGCTGCAGCATACTAAATGCCACCGCCACAGGATAGTAATTATATTTACAAATACAAACCTATGGCAGCGTTTAATAGTTTACTGTGGCATAATACGGCCACACATGTAGATGCTGAGACTTTACTGCAGAGCTAATTAGGCAACGCTGCAGTAAATGTCTTGTGTAGACACATCCACTGTTCTCTATATTGAGTTTGGATTTGTTATGCTAACTTTTGGGTAAAGCACCTCAGGATCAAAACCCTGGATTCAAATTCTTTTCAACCTTGAAGTGTTAAAAACCAAAGAGGGAACTTGAATAATTTTGTGGTTTAAGACCTTCTTCATTGTTGCAATGGAAAGAAAATGTATATTATCCATTCAGGTGTTGCATACAAATGTTAAAGATTAGGTGACTGCCAAGGATACTGGAATGGATGTTAAAACCTGTGCAAACACTTACTTCTCTTACAGTCCTACTTGGTAATCTGGCCTTCTCTCTATTGCTCATTCTCAAAGTTATATTTAGAAAAGTAACCCCAAATCCACATTTTTCTGTGAATATGGTGGTGTTTCATTCTAATCACAGAAAAATATGGATTTGGAGTTACTTTTTTAATCCAAACATTGGAGGTTTTTTTAAATCAGAGAAAACCAGGATCCCTGGTCATAAGGAAAACTTTAATTTAAGGGATGAGAATCATAAAATCATAGAGTAGAATCACAGAGCTGGTAGGATTTGGAAGGGACATCTAGTCCAGCTTTCGCACTAATGCAACATGGTTTCTAAACCATTTCAATCAGATGACTATGCAGCCTCTTGGTAACACTTAGAGGAGGAGATACCACAAGAGAGTGAAAAACTAAGAAGTATGGGGCTGTATTCAGTGTGGACAAGCAATTGTAGCAACTTCTTTGATTTACCTAGGCTTACATGAGGCAAGATTCTGATCTCATTCAAATCAATGCAAGTCAGGAGCTACTGAGATCAAAATTTTCCTTTGGGATTATGTTGGTTTTGTGATACAATATCAGGTCAAATTCAGACCTATTGTAAGGAGATGCAATGATATCAATGGATCAGACTCTTGTCTCAAATATATGATCTGCCTCAGTTTCTGCACCACCTTTGCAGTAGACCTAAATTTGGCCCAGTTTGTATCAAGAAATGTCAACCTATCCATCTGAAATATTGCTACATTTTTACTAATGAAAATGCAAATACTCTATAAAAGCTGGGAAAGGCCAAACAAAAATCTGAAGATGTAATTAAAGTTCTCTCTGAGAATCAGAGGCAGATGGCCTATATCCAGTGTAAAAAGACCTCAGTATAACTTCAGTATTACTTTCATGTTGTCATA